CCTAACGAATTTAACGATATTGGATAAATAATTTCTAACATATAGTATTTGTGGGCAAATATTTATTTTTTTTTATTCTAAGCGCACAAATTAAATGAATTGGCATTTAAAAAGTATTTGAATGTATTTATTTTTTTATGCATACACTTCTCTAAAAATGTGTTAAAAAGGGGGAGGTTGTAATAAAAAATTTTCGCGAAATTAATTATCTATTACAGAAATTTTTAACATTTTCAAATAGATAAATTCCTTACTAGCTTGCATCTTTTAAATTTGTTATTTATTTCTTTGTATCCTTTTCAGTTATTTCACTTTCAGTGCAAAATTGATTTTAATTCCATTTCATTTCCATTTCCTCGTTAAATTTGCTGGTCAAATCAAATTTTTAGCTTGCTACTAATTATATGCATATGTTTTTATTTGCATTTTTTTTCGTACATAAAAACCAATCAAATATTTATTGCATTTTTTGCTGCATTTTCTGGGTTGGGGTTTGAGATTGGGTTGTTAGCTTGTTTTGATTTGATTAAATGTTAACATTTTGCACAAGTTAAGTGCAATAAATTCGAATTGGATTGCATGGGTATGGGGACATTCATTACATAAATATTGCAATTGCTTTTTTGCTGAAAATTGTTTTCAGCAAATATCTTTAATTCAATTGAGCGTATAAAATCAGCCCTGTCACAGATTAAAGTGTTAATGCATATAAATGTTTTACTTATTTGCATACATTTTCGTTCGCTTTTCGCTATGTTTTTATACGTGTTTCTGGTTTAGCGAACAATTTGAATTGAGCCACAGATACTTTCTGGCATTACAATGCTAAACTGATTATCCAACAGCGAAAACGGTTCGGCCATCATTATAAATTCAATTTAACCAATCAAACGGTCGTAATTTGATTATGTTGATTTTTGCACATTAATTGCATATTTATTGACTGAGCGCACACAAACACGCACACAGCTGCAAAAAGTGCAGCTTTTGTTTATTTACCATGTTACATCATCAAAGAAAAATGTTATGCCAGTCGGCCAGTCGCATGGCCAAAAGTGTTTTAATTGTCAATTAAAAGTCAGTGGGGAAATTGATAGAAAACAGTTAGGGGATATGCATATGTGTGCCTAAAACGTAATCAAATTTAGTAAATAGAAAAAAATATATTTTATTGGTATCTAAAAGTACGGCAAATAGAACCACAGGTTTTTCAATGCTTTCACAAGTATTTCACACTCAAATGGACCATATTAATTGCCAAAGAGCTTAAATACACTCATAAATTGCTGCACAGCTCCGAGCTCTTTGTTGTGGCCTCTGGCCAGGGAAAATTGGCTGCTCGACGCTCAAGGATTTCTTTCTTGCCACTTTTAGCTAGCCGGCTATATCAAATTATATGCACACACCGCAAGCTTTTGGTGTGGCTTCTTTTGCCAATCGGCCAGTGGATAAACTCCTCCGCTCCTCCGTTCCTCCGGCATCAATCAGTCCGGATGGGTTGGGGTTTTTTTTTGGGGGGGGAATGGGAACTCGATCTCCACTGCAAAAATTCCTCGGCGTCCGGCGGACAGCTGCAGTTCATCTCCGGCACCGCAGAGGGAATTCGAGCGAAAAGCTGTGCCCGCCCGCAGTTCGTGCGAACGTGTCTCAATAACGAAATTAACAGAAATTGCAACATATTGTGTGTGGTGGATGGGGGTGGTGATGGTGTTCTATATGTGTGGGTTGGAGTTTTCCGAGGGGGGTCCTGCAATCAAATTGCACAGAAAAATGAACAGCACGTGGGCGTCCAACAACTGTGTCAAATTGATATTAAAACCAAGTCAAGATGTTGCTACTTCTATGATAAATAAATGGAATTGCAGCGGAGAACTCACGGTTGTCGTATTACACACCAATAAATATTTATTAAAATAATTGACCCAATAATCAGATTATATTAAAGGATTTTGTACCAAGCTCTTTAATAGCCAACATATTGATATTTAGATTGTATAAGGTATTACAATCTGTTTAATGGGTTAAAGATTTGTTATTATCACTTATTTTTATATATTATAATTTAAGTCACACAAGTTCTTACTAAAAAATTCCTTTTAAATATGACCAATACCTTCTTGGCAAAATAAAATAATACCCATACTCTACTTACAATCCAGATAAATATGTAAAGTTCCATTAGCTTAACTTTCATTTTGAGATGTGAAAGATCAGTTCTTTCCTTATCAACGCGCTAAAGAGATACAAAAAATCTGTATCCTAAAGGAACAGATATTACCTGTATTCTACTATTAAATAATTCGAAATATAGATATAAACATGACCAGAAAATAAGCACTTATTAAAATTACTTTAAACAACTCTTCAAAAAACTTTAAAAAAATTATAATCGATTGCCCTTCTTTTATAAGTACATAAACAAGTTATGTTTCCGTGAATCAAAGTTTCCCGCTAATTATCGCATGACTAACCCTCCTCCAAGGAATCCCTGCTTAAGGACCGGGCACAAAAACAAACTTCAACTCCTCGAATCCGTCACAGCTTGCTGCCAGGCAACAAAAAAAGCTTAATGAAGCGGCCAGGCCATCCAGCTACCATCTAAAAAAAATACACATAATGGGGAGTGGGGGCCAAGAAGGTCACAGTCTTTGGCAACTGTTGCCCCAGAACGAACGCAGAGCTCGTTTCGGGACCATTCACACAAGTGGGCCAAAATCAGGGATGTGGATGAGGAGTTGGATGAGGATGAGAATGAGGATCTGGATGAGGATGAGGAGGACAGAACCCACTGTGACCACAACGGACAGAGAGTCGCACATGTGACCAAAAGCCAGAAATTGGAGCGGCCATTGAATATGATAGAAATAGAAATAGAAATACGTACGTGCAAAAATTTCAACGCTTGATTAAATTTCAGTCACCGTCGAGAGAAAAGGAGGAAAAGCGCCACAAGTGTGGGCCAACTTGAAAGACAATCAGGCAGCAATTTAAAACCATTTTCACTGTGGCCAAAAAAAAACCCATCCTCAATCCTCAGTCGAAAAACCCCTGGTAAATCGGATGCCACCTGCTGTGCGGCAGTTGCAGTAACTTCTGCTTGATTAGTTTTGATTTGGTTATTTGGCATTAGGCCATGTGCCCGGCCTTCTTTAACATGCTCTTTTGGCTTCCTTCGATTTCCCTTCCGTTTTTTCCCGACTTTCCCCAGGACAGTGGAATAAACTAATTCCCAGCCATTCGTTGACGCAGATGGCTTTGGTTTTCGGACTGCAGGAAGGGATGGGGAGTTTTTCCGGCATGTGTGCTCACGAGTTTTAATAAAAACTCGATCATTGTCCGCTTGCCCATATGGGTCGAAAGTTTTTGGGTAGGAAGAAGCGAGTAACTTGGGGTTTCTTCAAGTGATTTCATGTAGGAAATGGAGCCTAGGAGGGCTGACCACTTTTTATGATTCTTAAAAGTTGATAAAAATAATGTTCATAATTAGTAGACGTCAGATTATATGCAAAATCTTATTCCGAGCTTTTTTATAAATAAATAAACTAAGAATACTGTTATCCATATAATCCGCCTAATCAATAAAACTAAGAATCTTCAGTATCTCTTCTTTAATTGCAGTCATATATTTTAAAGTCCTTTGCTTATTACAAAAGTAAAATACATTAGATTCCTTATGTAAGCACATTAAAACATACAGCCAATCTGAAATGACTTCCATCCACGTACGTGTTTATCAATCTGTATCCGTTTCGGGGCCAAGACAGTGGCACACATGGCGCATACTTAATATCAGTTAGTGGCACGTTCAATGCCGAAAAGCAGTGCCTCAAATTGCACCACCCCGGCCTCGAAATGGTCAACAAATCATTAACCTTACCCCTGCACCCTTGTGGAAAGTCAAATAGAAGTTAAACCCCACAGCGATTAAGACATTTAAGTACACTAAAACTGGGGTGAGCTGAGTTCCCTTCTAGCACCTCTATAATTTGACGAAATGGAAACTTGGGGGAGTGAATCGTACGAAATAATAAGGACCCCGCGATCGTTTGTCGCGCGAGCTGAAGTTTCAAGAATGCGGCAGGCACTTCCGGTAAATGTCGCTATTATTTAACAATTTTGTTTATGTATGCCTTTCATGCGGACCGCTCGGCAGCCCCATTGCAATGTGGAGTATAATTTATGGTTACTCTGATTCCCCCAACGCCGTTGGGCAAACTAAATTGTCGCCCTCGACAGCGGCGACTGGAAAAATATGAAAGAAAACAATTACAGCTGACTTAACACTTCCGTTGCTTGTTACAAAAGCCGCACACGTTCGCCAGAACGCCTGAAAACCAGTACAGCAGTACACCAGCACACCAGTTCACCATCTCACCTGACCACCCACCTTTTCACATGCCCACCTGTCCAACTGGGCAGCTGCAGACACAGGTAGCTGCGTGGGCGACAGCAACGCACTTTCCTTCAAGCACTTGAAATTGTAATTTAACACGTACAAGAACTACGCTTTCTGGAGGGGTTTTTGCCAGTTGAAAGGTTGTAACATGACCTGCTTTATCAAAAGGGGGGATTTTTGGAACCCTGTTTTAACAACAAAACAGTTAAAGGGATTTAAAAATCAAGGGAGTTACATTTTATATTAATAGCTGAACGAAATATGATTCGAATATATATAATTTATCCATAAAAACTTTTAAGCTCTTTGAAAACCATTTAAAATTATAAAGACCATAATATTTTTATCAAAACTTTCCACATAATAAAAATCCATCGCGTTTTGTAATTATATTAACATTTTATTAAGTTTTTCGTTCATGTAAATCATATTCAAATTTAGTCCATATGCACTAAATTCAAGGAAAACAAAAAGTTGGTATCCAAAAATAGTGATTTGTAAAGCACCCTAACGAAATCGTTTGATCGTACATAATATACATTCGTGCGCTTAAAACTAAAAGTTGACATTGCTTCCGAACGATGATTTATCAGTAATATCAGTGTATAAAAATTGTTTATCGATATATTTGTTTTCATCAACGATAACCATTCGATTTCTTCATCATACAGAGGCACTAAAGCTTATTGATTCAATGATTCTTCTGTCATCATAGAACCAAACTATCCTTCAACATATTCGATTTGTGCTTAAGTACTTAAATGCTAAACATATAATGCAGTGAGAGAAATAAATAGTAATGTTAGACCTGTTTTGGTATAGAATTTCATTGAGACACTAGATCAGTAAACCATTTTCATCAGAATCTTTGGAGACATGGACGTATATAAATAAGAGATGTCAGATAAATAGGCGGGGCAGGAAATATGTTTCGAGTTATTGTGTGCTGAGATAAATACTCATGAGTCTTTAGAGTAATTCGCAAGATTCGATTCTTAGAAATGCGCTTAGTTTGGAAGTCTGTAGAAAATACATTTGATAATCAAGTTTAACCGAAGACAGACTTTTCCAAGTTTTCATTAAATTCTTGTGATTTAGAATATAAATTATTTAGAAAAAAATTCGCTTTTACCTAAATAATTTTTTATGCAATTTTATATATTAATTTTCAACTAATTTCGAATTTGTTCGGATATATGTATACATAGTTAAATTGCATTTTGCCTAAATTCCAAATAGATTTCGCTTGTGATTTTACCTACTTCGCTTCAACAAGCAAACTATTTTATAGACCTTTATATTTTCTGGCTAAGAATACAATTATGTTGTTTTAAGCTCAAAATCTAATTTAAGTGGACAAGGCAAATAAGTTGACCATTTTATTGTCAAGTACATAAATATGATTATAGTTATGAAACACACAGTGGATTTTTACTAAACCTCTGCTTGTGAAATGTTATTGAACATATTTTACTAAATATTTGTCAGTTGGCAAACCGAAATATTTGTATATAAATCACTCAAGTATGCACAAATGAAACATGAAAAGAAAAAAGCACAGTTAAAAGAAAATATTTTTTCGATATCTTTCTTTGACAAGTTTAATAAACTCTTTGCCTTATCCAAAAACAACTTATAATCAGTGCAAACGAAGGTGTAAATTATAATTTACATCAGAACATAACTTTTGAATGGGAGATTATAGCCGAATCAAATGAATTCATAGTAGTTACACAGTGCTCTTGATTTGTGCACAAATTGCATATGGTTTGTGCTCGAAGCGTAGCAGTTCTAAGATATATTCGATATTTTGATACTCTATAACACTATAAAGTAAACCTGAAGCTCTATGTCTAGGCAAAGCTTGGACGTAACTGGGTGGCTGCTCAGGACTGTCGATCACTCCTTACTTTGGAGTTCCAGGAGGGGCGTTGGCCAAGCCGAAGAGTTCTTCATAGGAAGGTGCTGAATAGTAGATATAAAAGATTATTAGATTATAAAGACTGTAAGTTAAAAATTTTTCTATGGCATTATATTAGAAATGGGATAAGAAATCATAACATTAATTATATATAATTGCATCTATTGCAACTTACGCAACTCATGGGCTCCAGGAGCCTGGCGCGGCTGAAGAAACGAGGCTGAGGCCGAGGTGGATGGCAGTTGGCTGTAGCCCGGTGCTCCTCCTCCTCCGCCTACTGCTCCATTCGCTGTCGGAGGAGCGGCTCCAGTTGGCGGTGGTGTCAGGGCAAGGAGCGAGTACTGCGGCGACTCCGGCAGCGGATAAGTGGGCACGTGGGCTGGCGGATACGACTGCACCATCAGCGGACTGGACGAGTAGGGCATGTAGGGCACATTGGAGCTGCGCAGGCTGGCCCTGGCCGAGGGACTTCCATACTGCGAGGACTGCGAACCAGAGGTGTAGGATAGCTCCATGCCACCGGTTCCTCCGCCCACGGCGGGACTCAAAGTGGCCGCCGAGGAGTCCGAGGTTATCGAGTTGATGGAGCTGCATTCGCTGAACTGCGAGGAGTGCGAGGGCGAGCCGATGGAGGAGTCTAGCGATGGATAGACCGGCAATGCTGGTTCGAAGGGATTGCCGGAGCTAGCATCCGGACCAGGTGGACCGTCGTTTGGTCGTGGTGGAGGCGGCGGACGGATCGAACTCAGCCTATTCGACGTATCCTGCGAGTACACCTTGAAGGGAAGATTTAGGATCAGGTTCTTGAAGAATCCCCGCAACACCGCCTCCACGCGCAGTTCGTAAACAATGGTAATGACGCCGCTCATCTGCTCATCCGTTGGCTGAGCTCCTTCGGGCAAGAGCAGCTCATGGGCAAAGCTGCGCTCGGTCTTCTTTTGCACCGAACCCGTCTCCTTGGTGGCGACCGCGATGCACTCCACCTTCTGCACCCGCAGCGGCACATGGCTGTAGTAGGTGACGTACTGGAGGACACTGAAGCGCAGCTTCTCCACGGCGGTGGTGCTGTTGTTGATCACAGTGGCGCAAATCCTCAGTGGCTCTCCCCGCACCGCAAAGTCCTCCGGCAAAAGAGCCAGCAAGGTGATGGGTCGTGTGCCAAACAAGCTGATCGTCTTGGTCACCTGCTTCTCCAGCGAACTGGGAATACTGCGTTGCGAAGGCTGCAGCGGCATGTTCTTCACCACGGTAAAAGGAATCGTGTGCCGCTCATCGAAGGTCCACGGCCGCTGGATAAGCACTCGCATCTTGTACTTGATGCCACCATAGCTGCCCTTAAAGCTCGAGGGGAGTTGGCGACCCAGCGCCACCTCGAAGACGAACGTGTGCTCCCCGGGCGAAAGTTCCAGACCACGGGGCTCGAAATCAGGCAGGGGAGTCTCGCTGTGCTCGTACACCTCCTTGCTCGTGTAGAAAAGGCTGCGGGAATACTCGTTGTTGTTCGAGTTCTTTCGCAGGATCTCCATCCACTTGCACTTCCCCTTGCCGGTGACCTGCACCTTGATCGCTGAAATTAAAGAAAAATCAAAAATAAATTATTGTAAAATTAAGAGAAAAATACTTTGGGCCCAATTGTTTGTATATTTTTAAAAGCAGCGGTTGAGTGGATCTGGTAAAGTTAAAATTTAAGTGACATTTGAATGTCGCGCCAAACAATTTGAGTATTTTTGTTTGGCGGTTATTGTGAACTTAAAAAATAAAAATACTAAAAATATCGCAAACGGTCACTTTTAAATTGCAAGATGATGTATCCGCTATGTTAGCGTAGACACCCTTTTTTAGCAAGACCGTTCATGGAATTTTCTTAGGTTTTATTTTCCTTCTAATTTCTGGTCACATTGATCCCTACCAGCAAGCCAATACGAAAATTTTTTTTTTTGCAGATATATTCATGCCGAAATCTAATCAATTGTGTTGCAAGTAAGGCAAATCATAAGGGCCAATTGTCCCATTTGGTTCAAGTGTTTGAGAACAGAGTGTGCGCAGTTGAATTCAGCTACGAGCGGTGCCGACATTTTCTCGCCCGATTAAATCGAGTGTGGGTTTTATCTCCGCCCGTCCCCTTTTGCCCTTTAAAGAGGCATCGCCTCAACTTTAAATGGTGTAAAGTGGAAAAGGCGGCGCTGCAAAGATGAACTTCGAGTACATCGGCCATGCCCTGGGCTACCATGGACAGCCGCTGCAAAAGATCTGGGACGATGAGCGGGGCGTGGACGACCTGCGGCTGATGGGCCTCACGCAGGTGAACTTTTCGGTCTACCAGGAGCGCCAGAAGTTCTTCACCTTCCAGGAGCGGGCCAAGCGCCTCAAGATGCACCAGTTTCTGGCGCGGAAGGCCACCGATCTGTACGATCGCACTATGGTGGCCAATGTTATGGAGGATTCCGTGCTGTCACAAGGTGGGTTTACATTATAATCTTTGACTTTAACCAGTGATAACTTACTTGCAACACCCTTTTTTAGCCAACACCTATATGGCACAGATGCCACCCTTCGAGTTCTTTCTAAATGTGAAGGACAAACGCAAGGCGTGGGCCCACCGCCTGACTGCCCTGAAACAGGGCGATATCATCTACACCCAGGTGACAAGACTGCTCAATGGCAACCGGCTTTTAGTGAAGCCACTCTGCTCTGGGGAACCCAAGCATGCCTACCTGGCCGACATACCCATAAAGGTAAAAAGCTTTTACTTTTTGTAACTGAAATTCAATTTACCATTTAAAACTAAAAGATATTTGCATTCTTGTTAAAAAATTTCCGTATTTAATCTCTAAACATATACAAAAATGAGTTAAATGACCTTTCAAAATCCAATCTAACCCCCTATCGTTATAGGCCATGATCCTGCAGGACTACTGGGGTCCCTTGCCCCTGGACAAGCAGGGAAATCCGCGTAGCTTTGCCCAAAATGACATCCTGCGGTGCGAGATTAACAGCATATCTGCTGATACAGAACGGCTTAGCCTCAATATGATTGGCATGTTCAACCAACCGCCGGAATTGAAGTTTGGTCTGTGCGACATTAACGAGTTGCCCAAGTATTATCGGTAAAAAAGGAACTTTATCTCTTCAAGACCTATCCAAAACCTTGCTAAACCAACGCCCTTTCCCCAGTAAAATTCATAACCTGGAGCATCCCTCTACTACTCATTTCGAGGATGACCTAAACGCTGCCTTGGAGTTCGAAAATCCAAACTACGATCTACTGTTCCAGATAAACGGCCTGCAGCCCAATGAAAATTTTTCCCTGATGAGCCATCTGAAGGCGGGATTCCCGGAGGCGGAGAACGCCGCGGAGCTGCGCCAGAAGCAGGCCTCCCAATGGGCCTTCCGGTAAGTTTAACTTCCAACTTGAAACTTGAGTGTATGTCATTCCATCATTCGCACACCCTATCGCATCCAACACCTTCATTGATTGGCCGCCGATCAGCTCCGTGGCTGATGGCATCGAGCACTTTAAGAACGGCCAGCAGGTCGAAGCTTTTCAGTGCCTGAACAAGGCTCTGAACATTGATCCGCGCAATGTTGAGGGTCTGGTGGCCCGCGGTGCTCTCTACGCGAACCGCGGCAGCTTCCTAAAGGGACTGCAGGACTTTGAAAAGGCTCTGAACCTGAACAAGTACCATGTGAACGCGCGCAAGTACATGGGCGAAACGCTAGTGGCTCTGGGTCGTAGCTATGAGGAGGAGAACCGCATACCCGAGGCGGTCAAGGCCTACAGTGACTGCTTGAACCTGCTGCCGCAGCACGAGGAGGCACGCCAGTCGTTGGACGCACTGCAGCGAAGTGGAGACGGTAAGCATAGAGTAAGCGCCGACCGGATCAACCTGGCCTCTTCGGACGAGTCCACCTCATCGAGTGGCAGTGAAAGTGAAAGCGAAGATCAGGGTGAGTACTTTTATGGGTTTAGTGCAAGCGTTTTAAGCTGAAGAAGCACTCAATCACGTACATTGATGCAACCAATAACCCATTCCAAATTTTAGCTGGAAAGGTCAAGAGCAACATCAGTCAGCCATTCTATGCCCAAAATTCGATTCAAACGCCGGGGGAGGAAAAGTTGGCGGTAATCGATGCCCAAAAGGCCAACGAGTTCCGGCTGGACGATGATGAGACTGTGTCCAGTGTGAGGAAGCTTCTGCGGGAGGCAAGCAAGCACAAGAAGGCCAAGAAGAAGGGCAAGAAAAAGAAAGACAAGAAGGAAAAGGAGAAGAGGAGGTCCAGGACCAAGTCCGAGCTGGAGGATCCCATGGAGTTGCTCAAGAAGATGGACTTCCAGGAGGCCTTCAGGTGAGTGTTGCAGCAAAAGATGCACCTTGCACAATAAATATACATTTTCTTGAGATCTCCCTGCCTAACCCAATGTGATAGACAAGACAAGTATGTACCTTGACGAGAATTTAGCTTAACTTTCAAACTGTATTTGCATCTCAACTGAGGCATCTTTCAGTTGGGGTGTAAAAACAGTTGAGTGTTCTTAAAACATGGTTTATTACCACCGCTTTGTGTTGCTTTTAGGCTAATGAACAGCACCAGCAGTGAAGCGGAACTTAAAGCCAAGATCAAAAACTATCTAAAAGATGGAAATGGTGGAGGAGACTCACCGCCACCCCCACCGCCGATGAAAAAAGCAGTAGCTCCACCCAAAAAATCTATCTTCGACGTCATGGGACCCAGCACATCGCGTCATGCGGCCGCCGTGTCTGGCCTTGGAGGCGACATTCCACCGCCAGCGCCCAAGTATCAGGAGCAAAGGAAACCCCCGGAGCCGTCGCCCAAGCTCTCTTTTCAGATCAAACGACCACTGCAGATGGATAAGCTGGGAATGCTTCGCCTGGCGGCGCCAGTGGAACCACTAAGGAGTGGACGGAGCAGCAGCTCGCGTAGTCGCAGTAGGAGTCGAAGCCGCTCGCGTAGTCGCTCGCGTCATCGTAGGCGCGGAAGAAGTTCGCGCTCGCGTCATCGGAGCCGTCGTCGTGGCTCGCGATCCGACTCCAGATCCAGGTCGAGAAGCAGGTCGCGATCCCGTCGGCGTCGCAGCTACTCACGTTCTCGCAGTCCCTCGCCACGCCGCTATGGGAATCGCTTTGTGGTCGGACGCTATCGGTACCGCCGAGATCGCCGTTCACGATCTTTTCATCGTCGGAGGACTCCATCGCCCTTCGTGCCAAGGCGCTCGCCCCCAGCCTTTGCCAACCGCCGCACGCCCTCGCCGTTTGTGCCCCGCCGCACACCATCACCGGCGTCCCGCTATCGACGCACTCGCTCCCGGAGTCGCTCCCGTTCCCGCAGCCTGAGTCCGCGTAATCAGTCGCGCTACCCACCTAGGGGTAGGGGCCGTGGTCGTAGCACTATGGATCGCAGCAAGTACTCCTGGTACAATCACGATAGACGCAGTGTTTCCCGCGCTGTGGAACCAAACGGCAAGGAAGAGAGGAGTTCTAAAGCAGCTTCGCCGGAAAAGGATGGTGCAAATGACAAGGAGGTTGCAAAGCCAGTGACCGATGCCGAACCCACCGTCGAGCAGGTGGACGAAATGATCAAAGAGGCGCAGAAGGAGCGCAAGCAAGGGCTCATCGAGGCCACCAAGGAGGTCAAGGAGTAGGGTCCTAGATTCTCGCACATACTACGAGTGTTAAGTTTCCTCTTAGCTGATAAAATTTGAATTTGATATGCAAATTTGTAATACGCTCCCATGGAAAAGTTCTCTGATCACTTAATAAAGAAGCTTACAAAGCTAAGTTCGGCATGACTTGCATGCAAAAATCAACTAAGGTGTTACATATTTCTTCTTACACCTGTATCTAGATACAATCGAGTATTATTGGTTTTTTTATACGGTTTTTGTTTTTGTGAAATTGACGTCCAGGTAAAATATACCGATCGGTAAGTTATCAAATGAGGCTGTACTTTTTAAACTATTCTACATTTTGTTTTGCCTTCGTTAAGATAACTGATAGTTTTTCTCAACTTAACTAAGATGGGAACACACCAACTCAGAACAAGTTACCCACTTAAAAAGATATCCGCCAAAGATACAAAAATAAAAAAATTATACAAAAAATGTACAAGTAAATACAAACTGCTCCTGATTTCACAAGCTGATCATGTAAGTACTAAATAGTATTAAGTTTGCTTTTTTTAGATATAGAACGTTTTATCTCCAATAAAAGATTATCATAAAACCAAACCCTTTTTAAAAGAACTATTAAAAATGTGAGTACTATGAATCAAAAACCTTTGAAAAATCGATCAATTTATAGTTGTCAGTTAAACCTTAGAAAGTAAAAAACTAGTTTTGTAGTTTTTTATTTCAGATATACTTTTTGCATATGGAAGGAATCTAAATTAAAGTCCACACTGCACTTATTCCCAATGGACCCCCAGTGAGAGAGTGCGAAAGAGAGCGGGCCCCAAAAGCAGAGAGCGCAATTTCCCCAGAGAGCGAGGGAGACAGCGTACTATCCCCCACAGCCCCATATCATATACCCCATTTACACTGCACTTTTGCAAAGAGAGAGAGAGAGAGAGACAAAAAGGGAGTAAAAAAGAGAGGGCGTACAACCGGCTGTTAGTTGGGGCCTCGTGAGCGCAAGAAAGAGAGGGAGAGAAAGAAGCCTGGAAGCTAAACAACAGAGCCAAACCAAACACACACGAAAGATAACGACTTGTTTCATTTGATATTCGCCAGCCGGCAGCAGCGGAACGAGTAAAAAAAAAACAGAACACACAAATCGGACTCGGTAGCTGCGGACACTAAATTAGAATACTATAACGGCGACAAGTTATCGCACAATTAGTACGCGGGCGAGAATTGCTACCGAGATACGTGGTCGGCGGACACCCGAAATTTTCCCATAAAACCCAAGTGCCGTGTAAGTGCCAAAAGCAGGTGATTTTACGAGCTGCTAATTTACATAACAAACATAACAAAAAGCCAGTAAAAGAAAAAGTGCAGGGCCAAAAGTGAAGTGCAGAAATGCAGAATTGCATAAAAATCGCACAACACGCGCGACATTGAACCTATTCAATAATTTTCCGTGTGGACTTTGGACGATAAGCGGGTGACAACAACAATATCTGGTTATACGAAGACAAAGAACATAAGGCTGAAAAGCCACGCTTGTTTGCAGTTGTTGTTGTTGTTGTTTTTGTTGCTGTTGCCGCTCTCGGGCGTGAGTGCGCTACACTTGTTGCCATGCGGCATATTGATTTACGGTGTCTCCCCAGCTGACAAGTGTTATATCTTTTATTGCAGTGTGGTCACATATATTGAATGGAATCTTTCGCTCGATTCCCGTGATTAGTCATAAAATACAAATACCGAAAACTATAACCTTCCTTCATCACCTTTGTATCAAACATTTGTTGCGTGCTTGATAATCTAATCGCGCCCATAAAGATTGTCGAATGTGGGCAACAACAGAATTTGGTTTGAAACTATTTTTGGTGCTAGCAGCTAGATTATCAGTTATTCACCCTACAGAACATTATAGCATTTGTAAATAACGTTATAAACAAAAGAATTCATAAACTAAAGCTGCCTGCACAATATATGATATATATATTCTTTTAGCACTTTAGTGCTTAAATTAAAATTTAAACTATTTGCAGTAACTCTGAATTTTTATCTTCCAGCTCAAAAAAGAGGTAGAGAGAAGTAGAGCTTAAACATGTATACGAAAATTTTTCGCGCTGTGATAATCGGAGCCCCCGGCTCGGGCAAGGGAACTATTTCCGAGCTGATTTGCAAGAACCATGGATGTGTCCACATTTCCACGGGTGACATTCTGCGCCAGAACATCATAAAGAACACGGAGCTGGGCAGAAAGGCCAAGGAGTTTATCGCTGCCGGTAAATTGGTGCCGGATTCAATCGTGACCAAGACAATGTTGGCCCGTATAACCGAGGTGGGCAACAGGTCGTACATCCTGGACGGATTCCCGCGCAACATCGCCCAGGCTCAGGCACTGGAAGCTCGTGAGCAGATCGATGCAGTGATCACGCTGGACATTCCACACGATGTGATTATCGATCGGGTCAAGCACCGTTGGATTCACGCGCCCTCTGGCAGGGTGTACAACATAGGGTTCCAAGATCCCAAAGTGCCTGGCAAAGATGATGTCACGGGAGAACCGCTGACTCAGCGCGAGGACGACAAGCCACATGTGGTGGCCAGGCGGCTGGAGCTCTACGATGAACTGATGAGTCCAGTGATAGCCTGGTACAAAGAGAAGGGCCTGGTTGCCACTTTTAAGGGAAAAGAGACCAAGGAGATCTGGCCGCGGATGGAGCTCTTCCTCAGGGACCGCATGAACGCGTAATGGACCACCCGGAATTTCATCCATTGTGCACAAACTAACGATAAACTGCTGTGTTCAATTAAGTGCATAAACATATTTAGATATGGGCATTTCCATATTGTCGCTCGGGACGTTTGCATACTTTTAAAGTTGAAAAAAAATGGGAAACAAAACGATTTTAATTTTGATAATTGGTTTCACTTGTCACTCTTCCCAAGCTCTATTTTGTGCAATAATCTTAATTTTTCCCGATTTTTAGTTTTCAAGATATCTTTAAAAAGCTGTCGTATTCGCTCGGGACAAAAATAGAAGTGGGTTTTGCGGGAGTTCATTCAACCCCGGATTTTAGCCAAGTCTGATGAAATATTTTCATGCGATTTTTTTAAATTGTGGTTCAATAATGAAGCTGTAAAATAGTTTTGGTTTTGCTCAAAAATGTTAAGCCGTTTTTTTTTAATGTAGTTTCTAAGATATTCGCTCGGGACATGTGGCTCGGGACATTTTTTCCGATTACAATCTCTATGTTGTTTCTGGTGTTATATGTGACAAATATCATAAAAAAGCGTACTAAGTATTTTCATTTTATTAACAGAGGTATTTTTATAAACAAACTATTTATTTCAACAAAATTTTTATTTAGAAAAATATATACAATACATGTGAACGAAAGTCATTGTAATAATATAGTTAAATTCAGGTAATTAAATCAATTTTTTTTCATCCGAACTAGCTATTCTAGCAGCCTTTAATTCGTGGGCATTACAATAAAAATAGTGAAGTTTAGATATCCCATGAATATTCTTAATTTTGTTCCATTTTTCTTTTAAGTTGTACTCTATGGACTGCTCTTCAATGTTGTCGGATGATAAAAAATAAATATTGACATTATCTATGTTATTCTTAGCATATTCATAAAATGAAAATGCGTCTGGTATAACGACTTTTCTGGACCTCGTTATTTGCCACACCTTCTTTTTTATTACTGCGCCAACTCCATCAACGGCTCCCTTTCCATGGGAACTTGCAAAAAAATTCCATTCAATTGAGGCGCATTTCAAATGATTTACAAAATCAAACAGGCTTGACATTATCCACTTATTTTTAAACTGAGAACAGCAACCTTCAGAAAAAATATAAACTTTAGAAAAACATCCGTGCAATTTCTCAATCTCAGTTAGGAGATTCATCAAAAAAATGAAAACGTCTATTTTATTATGTGTAAGCTTGTCGCTTATAACAGCAAAAGACTTTGTTGATCCTGCCAACCAAGCCACACACGTAAAAATTCTTGCTTGGCGGTAGGTAAAATGAGCACTTTGGATCTCATTTTGATTTGCTAGTCTATAGTTTTCCGCAAAATCAATCTGAATGGCCAATTCAGTCGGTTTTAGGTTTGCTTTAATCTTTTGGAAGTACTCCTGTTGAACTCTTTTGACAAAAAAATGAGTTTTAAAAGAAGGTAATTTAGTTTCCAAAACAGATATTAGGCCGGAAAAGGTTGCATTAGCAGTGCACAAATTGATTTGCTTATCATTTTTTAACCAATGCTGCCAGTTTACTTCGTCTTCCATATGTTTCCAATATGCTAGAGGAATAACCTGATATTTTATATCTGTAATGCACTTCTTGCAAATGTTTGTCATGCAATTTTCATTATAAATATTGCAGTAAACAGATTTAAGAAAACTTTCAAAATTCGTGGGAAATGAAGGTATAATGGTTCCGAAGCTTTGTAACAAATACCCGAAATTGGCATGGTATACGCAAACGCACATATTGTGGGGCATTTTGTCTATCAATTGTACATGACGAGGTCGCAGTCCAAAAAATGTGGATTTTCCTATTAATTCCATGTTGGTATTCTCATTTTTGTAAAGCTCGTATGCTTCAGACACTGTCATTAACAGAAAGCGTTTAGCTACTAGTTGCCCTTCAGAAAACATTGTATCCTTCTTTCCCGAGGACTGCACACTGATGTCATTCATCGTATAAAACTCTTTCACGGCCTGAGCTACCTTTTCATTAACTGCTTTAAGGCCTTTCTTTTTATTTTCTTCTCTTTCCATGGACCCGACATATTTCTTATGTAATGCTTTTATCAACATATGTTTTCTTTCCAAATCTGCAGGCAAAGCATTCTCTAATTTTCTTAATGCTTTTCCAAAAGTTTGCTTGCATGAGTAAGGCAAGATTTCATTTTTTTCAGCACGTTTTAATTCTTTTACTTTTTTTCTAAGTTCTCTTTTTCTTGTTCGCTCATATTTCTTTCTTTCTTCGATTATTTGAACATCTCTTTCAGCCATTTTTTTTTTCTCTTGCCTAGCATTCCGATTTCTTTCATTATTTTTAAGTTTAAAGGTTTTAAATTTGACTTGATCCTCTTTTAATTTGTTTCTCCAACGTTTGCAGGCATTCCTATTCTTTTCGCCATCCATCTATATTTATATAAAACAAAAAGCAAAAGAATTAAACGCAAAAAAAAATTTTTTTTTTTGCGAAAACTTACGGTGTTGCTCGGGACCAACTTTGTTGATTTTTAACATTTACATTTCTTGTTATTTTTAAACGGTGATTTCCAGGGTTTGTTTGTCGGTATAGTACCTGTTTAAGTTTAAGTTTTGATCTTCTTGCAGTGAGAGATTTTGACGTACTGATAAGAAGTTACGTTTTCCAATGTCGCTCGGGACATTGGAGAATACGGTAATGGGACTACAAAAATTACAGCTATTCCGCAAAGCAAAATTCTCAGTAAATTTTGTTCCCTTTTATTTCTTTCCAACAAAGAGTTGAGAGAGGTAAAGTCATATTATTTTCTCGCTCTTTATGATCTAGCATCAAAACCAAATGACCCATTGAAATGGGCAAAAACCAAAAATGCATTGCGCGACTTTGCAATTATACAAGTCGGATCATGGTAAACAAATCGGTGTGTTTCTTATAAATTAACTAGGTATGATTATTTCTCTTTCAAATTATATTTATGTTAGATTTTTCCGATCACTTCTAATTTTTCGGTCATGGTAGACTTTTTGGTGGAAGTGCCCATATATATATATAAACGAGTACGTGTGTAATATGTATGGGCCGGGTTTGGAGAAAACAGGCGTATAATTAATGTAATTGCGAAGCCTTACAATGTGGCAGCTGTCGTCATGTATTCCTTATTTTCCACACCAAGCATTCCCCCCTCATAAAAATGTCTTGCAGCTCCCCCTTTTTTTATAAGCATATTTTTGTACTTGTAGTCTGTGCTCTGATAATAAATCGCGTTTGTTATATTTGCGCTGATAACGTAACGACCGACTTTGACTTTGGGGCAGTTAACGGACAGCAGTCCATCTATTTTTAGTCCACAAACACTTGGCCCGTAGCCTTAAGACAACACTTATGGCTTCACCCGATGTTACCGAAATGCCCTGCGTTTTATCGCGTAGCGCATTAAAACCCGAAAGATGCGGGATAGTGTGGCGCTCCCATATTCTCCTGCTCTCACGCACACATGCAACGGACCAGCTGCTGGGAAGTTCTCACGCACACCTGCACAGTGGCAAATCACAACAGAGAGGAGCTTTGACTACAGTGGTGGGTCGCACCAGTGGGTCAGGTTTTTAATACTATTTTTTAATTTTATAAAAAGATAATTTGGTAAATTTACCAAAAATTAATTCGATTTACTAATGACAAATTTTTTTATGTGGTTTTTGGTAAATTCAATAGAACTAGAACAATAAATATAGTTACCTTTTAATAAAAAAAAATAAAAAGAACTCAAAAATTTAATCTTTTAATTAACGTTGATACTAATATTTTAAGGGTGATTTTTATATAAATAACTTATTTTCATTCAAAAACGTTCATTCATAACCTTTACTGTGCTGAGAGAGCTCTCTCACCTCTCTTTTTCTCTTAGACCTGACTTTGCGCTTGGCCCCATATTACGGAAATTTCGGCACGCCAATATAGTGCGCCCCTCCTCGCACACACGCCCCCCACCCTCTGGCCTTCTCACTCGCACCCGTGCGTTGCGTTTGACTTGGCATTTCCTGAAGCAAATGCCAGTGCTCAAGAAGAACGAGAGCGAATTCAATTGCAAATGCAATTGCACGGGGCGGCAATTGAATGCTTATCGATGAATGAAAGGCGAGTGCAGAAGGCAATTGGAGGAATTTGCGAGCAAGAATCTCGGCATGACGGGCAAGGGGACGAGCGGGAGGGGCAGCTCCATAAAATAGCCGCTGTGCTTTGTTAACTGATGAAGTTCTTTGTTTATGCGAATGGGGCCGCAACGAAAGTCCAGCTGGCCATCGGGCAAACAATGGGTTAAAAACCGCTGACAAAACAGAAAAGAAACCTTTTGATTTGGTGAGTAATGTTAGGATGAAATAAATACTGTATATGTTTGTTTGCATTAGATGGTTTTAATCCAGTGGTCGACACGCAATGCAATGGCATTTCGTGTGAGTAATTGCACAGGGCAGCTTATCAATGTTGAACACTGTTTGTGTGGCGGCAGAAAAATAGCGGAGCTATTTACTATGCCCAACCAGTGTGTGTTTATTGAATTTAATTTTTTATAATTTTTTATAATCATAAAATTGATAATGAACTATAAAATAAACCTGTTTTGGTGAAAAGTAATACTAAAATTTAGAAGATAAAAAACAAAACCAAAATTCTGAAATAGTTTACATGAGCTTAGAAAGGAATGATTTCCTTTTTCTTTGATCAACTAGTTTTAGTACTTTAATCAAACTATTTTCTCTTTGTGTTTCTGTGCGGCGACCTGAGTCACGGATGATGCAAGCCGGGCTTTGAGATGGGGCTTCCAGGAAATGGAAAGGTATCCCCGACTGGCACTTACCGCGTATTTTGGTGCGCTTGTTTACATTCATCCAGATCTCTCCCCGAATTATGTCGCCCGCAAAGTAAACGCGATCCGCGCTGTCCAGCGTGATTCGCAACCGTTCGCTCTCCATTCTGCTGCCGCCGCCGTTGATGATGATGACTCCTCCGATTTGGCCACGCTCATCAAACACTTATCCAAAAATAATTTCGTCATCAAAATGCCGCCACATATGAACGTGGATGCACTGCACCGCCGATGACCGCGCACCACCCTAAAATATATGCAGAATAGTAGCACCACCACACGCACTCGACCACAACCACAGCGTTTCACGATTTACGATTTACTTTTACTACACACACCGCGCGCGGGAGTGGAAGCTTTTTCGCGCTGACTCTGGCCAATTCTTTGGCTATCTCGATATCTATTAACTTGCAGTGACCCACAAGTGTTTGTCGCACACCCCGGGCTAATTTGATTCGATTGCTGCCGACCGCGGGCGGGTTGAATAATTTAATTTCTTATAAATTTACGAGATCCGAGAGTTACGCTTTTGTGTAGTTGCAGCTCTCTTTCGATAACCCGGAGAGCGATGGTCCGATAGCAGAAACAGCTGTTGCGCGGTGTTGCCACCTGGCGGGGGTGGCGATTGAAGCGGTTATTTTGCAGAACTTTAAATGGTTTGGCGGGAAAGTGAGGCGGACCTGGATAGTTCGACCCGGCTAGTGTCCTTATCAAGAATATATATACTATGTAGAGTCGGAAACGCCATATTGCACCTGTTGCATACTTTCCGACGTATCAACGAGTAAGGAGTATAAAAAATAAAACATACAAAAATATAATTCTCATATATTTTTAATAAAAATTTCCAAATATGTTATTCTTGAAATTAAGAAAAGATTTTAAAAATGTATTTTTTGTTATATTATTAATCAAAGCCCGATGTCATTATAACACATTACATATTTACCCAACATTATTCTTATGTTCATAAACGCAATAGTGTAAACCTTCCTATAATTTTCCGTGTGTTTCCCCGTTTTGCCTCTACTTTTTTCTCCCCAAATACACTCTCACACATGAAAAATAGCCTCCAAGTTCGCCGGTGGCTTTTGAGAAATCAGTATTAAGCCAGAGCTGCTCGCGTTGGTACTCGCGAGCTAAATTGCTTCGCTCTGACCCCAAACCCCGACCAACAACCACTCCCAACAACTATCAATAAAACAAACAAACAAAGGAACTTGATATCCCGACACCGATACCGCCTGATACCGTCGCCAAGGAGCAAATTCTGGAGAAGATGAGCAGCAAGGTGACCTTCGTGTTCGACAGCAATCCCCTGGGGGTCTATCAAGCCGGTCAACTAGTATCCGGCACCGCCGAACTGGTTACGGAGCGTCCAAAAACCATTCGATGTAAGTTTAAGACATGCGGAAGAAGTCGCAGTATTCTAATAGACCGAGACCATGACGTCATGGGTCTCTACTCAATCCCCATTCAAATTCAGATTCCCACACCATTCTCATCCACTTTCGTTGCGTAGTCGCGTCGTCATTAATATTGTTGGTGTATTGTGTATTGTTGTCCGATGCTTTTGTTATTGTTACCGGTAGAATCTGTTGGAAGATATGTATGTATATATGGTAAATTATATTATATATACAACACACATGTGGCCGCTTGGCTGGCTTCGGATATCTGATAGCGGCAGAAAAACTAGTTTTGTTTTGAAATTGCGTCTACTGTTTTATTATTATTAGACATTTGATTCAGTTTACTGGTCAGCACATTTGTGCCGATACCTTTGAAGCGTAGTCTATAGGGTTACCTTTGAAGTGAATCAGAGGAAATTGAAGTCGTATATAGATTTATACAAATTCCTTTAGCAAGAAAAGTTTACATGAAACACAAACAAATCTCCATTAGTTGAAAAATATGACAGTACAAGTTAAACACTTTTCCATACATAAAACATTTTTATACTTCCTAAGGGTACACAAAAGTCGAACTTTATAGGAAATTGAATGTAACGGAAGTAAAACCTCATTAGCAAGAAAAGTTTACTTGAATCACAATTTAAACTCTATTAGTTCATAAACATGATATTTACAGGGCTTAGACCAAGCCTTTTTTAAGGGTATATAAAAGTCGTGAATGATCAGATTTTAAAGTTAGCAGTGGACTTAATTAGGTAGCATTTTTTTTATGTTTATGATTAAATTATTCTCGGAATTATTGTTAGTCAATTAACCAAAAGCTTTTGTGAGCGAAGCCATTTTCCAATACAATACTGCCTACATCCGAAAACACAAAGGCCCAAAGGTCAAATACAATTAAACTAAATGCATAATTGAATTACATACCCGGCAGTACAGAGGAATTAAACCAATTGCAGCGATCTTTATAACCATTAATGGATACGGGGAGACGCGATGGCAGGAGAGCGAGGAGCGGGTGGGCGAGGATGGGAAGACGACCAAGTCACTGGTGACCCACACCACCACCGAGGTGTACTACAGCACTGACCAGCCGGTTTACGGACAGGCGGGCGGATCCCAGCTGGAACTGCCCACCGGAAAGTATGTCTTCCCCTTCCGGACAACCATTCCACCCAATGCACCCACTTCCTTCAATGGGGAACATGGTCAGATCAAGCATGAGGTAACCCTGACCATTGATCGCGCCGTGCGTTACAACAATACCTTTAAGCAGTGCTTCTCGGTGATCCTGCCACACGATCTGAACAAGCGGCAGCAGTATAAGGTGGGTAACCGAGGACTTTTGGGAATCCTAATACAGCTATGATAATTTTAGGAACCCTTGCAACGCCTGGAGTCGAAGAGCTTCTGGTGGGGTTCCATTTTCGGGGCCCATAAGCCCATGATCATGGACGTGAGCACTTCTTATTCAGCCTATGTGCCCGGTCAGAAGATCCACTTTCATCTGGTGCTAGACAACCAGTCGGATGTCCAATGTATGGATGTGAAGGTACGTCTGATCAAGAACGTATCGTACCGAGCGAATTCTTCAGGAGCAAAGGAGCAGCTGAAAGTTACCGAATCTCGAGTGGCGGACAAACATTGCGGTGAGGTTCTGAAACACAACAAGGCCAAATTCGATGAGTTCCTCGTGGTGCCGCCGACCACTCCATCGACGCAGAGCGAAAAGGATCCCATTCGAGTTAGCTACACATTACGCTTTATTGCCAAGACTTTCAAGCTCCACGGTGGTGGGGACTTGGTAATGGACTTTCCACTAACCATTGGCACCGTGCCGCTTTTGGGAAGTGCTGATGACAAGGCACCAGGACAGGAAAAGTCCCAGCCAAGTGGAACCTCTCATCCAGGTGGGTTTCACATAAAGTATAAGTGAAGTGGTACTACTAAAAATTTATTTTTCCCATTTAGGATCTCCCAACTTCCAGGAAGACGTCAGTGAAGAGCAGTTCGAGTCCAACACCTTTAAACCAAGATATCCCGTCTACCCCTTCGATGGAAAGCCGGGAACTAATGGTTCCAATGGAGCAGCCAACTTCCCCAGTCTTTATCCCAAGGCGGAGGATGCAGTGCCTCCTGCTCCTGTTAAAATTACGACTCCGAAGCCGAGTCCAGTGTCACCAGCCGCACAAAAATCGCCACCATATCCAACCAATGCACCTGCTGCTGCTCCTGCTGGCGGTAATTTCGAGGTGCTTGGCTTCAGCATACCACCGGACTATAAGCCCACGCCTAGTGCTCCAGCCGATGCTCCCACAGGCGGCATTGGGTGGAAATAGGGACCATTGATTAACCTTTTTGTATTATACTTTTTAAGCCATTTTTAAATAAACACGAAAGCGCGCCCAAGTGGCAACGCCATGATCGTGACAGCTACATTTTATCGATAGAAGTATGTTTTAAAAATAGCCAGACTTGGCTTTTTTAACGGTCTATTAGTTATTTTAAAAATGTTTAAATGAAAATCATTTACTTAAGAACATACAGACACTTGAGCATAATAATGTGGTTCCAGGGACTAGATTTAGTATATAAAAATAAAGTTTTGTGATTATTTCAAAGGCTTTTACCAGGCTTGGTAAGTTACAATTACCTGTGGCTCAAAAGCAACTAAATCTGTTATTGACCAAGTTTAATAATAGTATAATCTTTGAATATATATGAGTGTCGTAAAAAATATATAAGCTAAAAATTTTATAAATTCTTACGTGCATCAAAAAAAGTTGAAACGGTTTTTGGTTAGCAGACACACTCTATTAAAACCACTTTCATAACTCTAACTCTAAAATCGGAGTCAGCTATTTTATAGCTATAATCGTTACCTGATTTCGATTGTCGATTGACATCACCGCTTGGAAAGCTCATCTCCAGCGGCTCGAACAGCTGACTACGTGCACTTGGCGACGTAACTTGGTTTGTTTTGTTGTTGTTGTTTTGTAGTGAAGCAGAGCGGCTTGGTTTGATTTTGGGAAAACCAGTTTGTGGAAGTGGAAGCGGTCAACTTGGAGCGCCGCACAACTGCAACGGCATCTCGTCGGCAGCGATATTACAAAGCTGGCGAAAAGAAAGTTTTGACGCAATCCACGGGCCGCTGCCTGTAATGAAGAAGCGTCGCCGCCGCTGTAACTGCAGCACTCTGCCCGCGAACGGACGCATCTGCTCCAGGTGAGGACTTACCTCTGCCCACTCTGAACCCAGGCATTCATCACCAACCAGCATCCCAATCTCAAGCGTATCCCCCTCTCTTTGTCTCTTTATCTCGCCAGCAGCATCGGAATTTTGGAACTGGACAACGAACATCGAACAACAAAAGCGGGAAAAAGTGAAATCGCTGATAAACCCGAATACCCTCCAGACGACTATTGTCAATCAATGAATGGGCGTTTGAACCTGGAGTCTACATTGAATGCTCTGCGAATTGGCGCGCAGCTGGGCATAGCAGATGTAATAGTGAAGTAATCGCGAAGACATCATCCCCACGCTCCGTTGAGCATGACACTTGTAAGTCCCATCCTCCAAAATCACACCTACTATTTCCCAATTCCTGTCTACGCATTTTTACACATCAATTTGGCCATCGAGTTGATGAATGTGTAAACAATTCAGAGTTTGCGCCCGGCCGCACCTGTAAAACGCTTTGAATGAAAGCTACAGGCGGGCTTCACTAAGAGGGATTGCCTAAAGTAAAAAATTAACATGACAACCAACAAGAAATATATTTCAGTATGTTCTACAAAAGATAAGAAGTCACTGTTCCCAACAATCTTTATTCTCATCCTTAAATTAACCTCTAAAAAGACAAGCCCATTAATTTCACAAGCACCAATCTTATTATTTTTGTTTCATCATCAAAATTATTCTTCCGAATATAGCAATCTTAAAAAAATGATAAGGTGCTCTTAATATTTAATGTCCCAGTTAGTAGTAGGAGTTAAGAAGTTGCGACATTTTTCACACCTCTTTCTTTAAGATAGAAACCCTACTTCTTTAAAAATATACATGTTATCTGAAATTGAAATTCCAAGTTAGTGGTTGCAGCTATTGAATTCCGACTGTAATAACGTTGTCTCCGCCTGCCTGGGTTTCTTTATTTTACAGAAATGCCATTGAAGAGTTGGCAGTCGTAGCAATAAAAGTGAAATCCGCACGAGCAAACATACGCACACGAAAAGCGAAACCAAAGCAGCTCCGACGCAGACATGGCGGTAACCACAGGAACTACCAGTGAGGCAACCAAAACCACAACCACAGCTCCCGTCCCGCTACGAAAGCACAGTACGCGGGAGCAGCTTCATCAAATGCTGGCCGGTGGCCTATCGGCGGCCATCACTCGGTCCACCTGCCAACCGCTGGACGTGCTCAAGATACGCTTTCAGCTGCAGGTGGAGCCGCTGGGAAAGAGCCGTGCTAGGGGGAGCGGGAGCTCTTACCTCCAAGTACACATCCATTGGACAGGCGGTGAAAACAATCTATCGGGAGGAGGGACTTCTGGCCTTCTGGAAGGTCACAATCCTGCCCAGGTGCTGAGCATCATGTACGGCATTTGCCAGTTCTGGACTTACGAGCAGCTGAGCCTGAGGGCCAAACAGACCAGCTACCTGTCGGATCATCAGCATCTATCGAATTTCTTGTGTGGAGCTGCGGCAGGCGGAGCAGCGGTGATAATATCCACTCCCCTGGATGTGATCCGCACTCGACTTATTGCCCAGGACACCAGTAAGGGATACCGGAACGCCACGAGGGCTGTGTCGGCGATTGTTCGGCATGAGGGTCCACGGGGTATGTACCGCGGTCTGTCCTCCGCCCTGCTGCAAATAACGCCGCTGATGGGCACCAACTTCATGGCCTACCGCCTGTTCAGCGACTGGGCTTGCGCCTTCCTGGAGGTCAGCGATCGCAGCCAACTGCCCACGTGGACGCTGCTGGGACTGGGCGCCTCCTCGGGCATGCTCTCCAAGACCATCGTGTACCCCTTCGATCTGATCAAAAAGCGGCTGCAAATCCAGGGCTTCGAGTCGAACCGCCAGACCTTCGGACAGACGCTGCAGTGCCACGGAGTCTGGGACTGCGTGCGGCTGACCGTGCGCCAGGAGGGCGTGAGGGGCTTGTACAAGGGCGTGGCCCCCACACTCCTTAAGTCAAGCATGACGACGGCCCTGTACTTCAGCATTTACGATAAGCTCAAGCAGGTGCGCTTCTAGGTCGTGCTCGGAGTCGCAGTCGGGGTTAATGGCAGCTCAAATCCATTGTGGCACTTTGGTGCCTGTGCGCCCATACAGAATCTACATCGTATTTTGTACTTTTATATATATTTACCGCACCGCGTAAATAATAATAAGACTTAGGCTAACTGTTGATTAGTTTTCGGTTATGCGTACGGGGTTCTGTTTATCTTAGACCAATCGACTTGGTCAGCGCTTTATTACACACAAGAATAATTTGCGCACCTGTTAAGTTATCTATATTTTAGTAGTATACGTTAGTTTTTAGTTCATTATCCGAGCAAAAGCGTCTGGCTTTTTAACCACGCTCAAATCTTTATTTATGATTATCTTTTGGTAAATTTCCAAATGAAAACGACTGGGCTGGCAGTCCCATCTGTTGCCCAATTATTTTTATTACACTTAAATATTCAGGGAATTTAATAAAACTTGACTACATCACATATAAGAAAATATTTTAAGTTCCATAACTTTTGACGTGACATGGGAGTTATAAAGTGTTTTATAAAATCCAAATTCGGTAATAATATCTAATTGATGGATTGAAATATGGTAAATGTTTCTTCAAATTGTCTTTTCAATAAAAAAGTCACCACAAAATTAATTTAAAAATGTTAAGGTTACATACATATGTTAAATTCAAAACGTAAACAATGTTAAGTAAAGCTCATTTCCTAGAGCTTTTTCTGTTGTGAAATTTACCGGGTATCGTATCATCAGTGTATAAAAAGAATTGTATGTTTTGGAACAACTAGATACTGATACCAAGCCTTAAGAAAATGGTTCTGGTGAAAACAGTTTTAACCGACAACAACTCCATTCGATGGCTGTTGTGGATACCGGAAATGGATCGGAAATCACAGCCGGAGAAGTTTACGTTTGATGGGCCACAGGTGGTGGCGTTTCACTTTGTTAAAAACCGACACGGAGACGATCTGAGTAAATGGGTAAAGCTGCTTGATGAGCTGGCGCAGGAGTACGCTGGGCGGATTTTGTTTGGCCTACGGGATATTTCCAACATCGGGGAGTTTAATTCAAATCTGAATCCCGATGACTTTGGTACCTACCGGAAGGGATTGCCTCCACGGATCTATGGCAAGGATTGCGAGGGCCGAGTCTACGATATGCACAAGCTGGTCAGCGCCAAGTATCTGAGGGAGTTTTGTGATCAGCTGCTGGAGGATCAGCTCTTCCGCGCCGTAGTTCTGGGCCCCACTCCCTCGCAGGACTCCAGTCCGAGGAACTACTTTAAGCTGCGGGAGGAAAGCAGCAGCGATATGCTGGTGATGCTGTATGATCCTGCCTGCTACTACTGGCCCTACCAGAAGAGGAAGCTGCACAAATTGGTCCGTCTGCTTTCCAGCGAGGATTTGCCCATCGTGATCGTGGACAAGGCTAGCAACTACCTGGGCGTGGGTTTCACCCGCTGGCTGCAGATGGTTAATTGCCATGGCTCCACCATCTTCTCATCACCACGTCGTGATGGCTGGGAAATCAAGTTGTCTGTGCGTCATGAGAGCACACGTGGCTATCTGCGATACATTGCCCGGAACAGGCAACCGGAACTGATTGACTTTGATGCCGAGGGAGAGCTAAGAGCTCCAGAGGAGTCCCTCGAGTACATCAAATATTTGTTTTAGCTCTCAGCACTCAATTATGGTGAGTGGGAGATATTGTAACCCATTAGTAATATATCAGAATCTGGCTTTGGTACCTGTCGTCTACTTTTTTATAAAGTGGTTCTAATCGTGAACTTTAAAATTACATCTAACAATAAATTACTTTTAAAAATAGAACATGTCGATAAAATACAGAGCTCGGAAATGTTACAAGACACCTAAAATCAGATACTAGGTTTACAACTAACCCATTTATAAATTTAAATGATGGGTTTTAGAACCATCTTATCGGAATATTAAGCTGTTAACCTGACGATAACGTTTCTAGAAGTGTCCAACTCAAGACGCACAGTTCGGTTTAAAGATAAGAGTGTATATTTAGAACTTGACTTTGTTGTTGGCGTCCCTCGGCTGGACATGGATCATGACCTTGATAGCGCCGCCCGTGCCGCGGCGGGAGGTCTCGAACGCCTGAGCCGTTTCCGAGATGTCGTAGTGGTGTGTGACTAGGCGCTTTACGTTCACCTTGCCCGAAGCCACCAAAGCCAAAGCGGCAGCATAGCTGAGGATTGGGAGTAATCAGCAGATGTCTTGACCCTACTGTCCTACTGATAACTTACTCATTGCAGTAGCGGAAGACGCCACGGATGTCGATCTCGCGGGCCAGGGCGTTGATTAGCGGCAGCTTGACCTCTGGCGCTCCCATGCCCACGACCACCACCACTCCGCCGGAGCGAGTGGCCTGAAAGAAAAGGTGTTAGCTAAAGGCAAACCAGAGGTAATGATTCACTTACAAAGATGGCCAGACGAGCACTGCTCTCCGCTCCACAGCAATCGATGGACTTGTCCGGAGCACGCTCATCGTCTGGTGAACCACCTTGACAGTCTCCTCGGCGGACTGATCCCGCTGCAGGAGCAGAGTGTGCGTGGCGCCCAGCTCCTTGGCCACATCCAAACGCTGCTGCACCAAATCGGTGATGAGGATCTCTGAAGCACCCATGGCTTGGGCAGCCTAAGTGGGAAACAACATGGGTAAGTGGGTTAAATATTCTTAAACCCTCCAAATATTAATAGCTTCTCTTACCAGCAGAGTGACCAAACCAATTGGTCCTGCGCCCAGGATGAGCACCTTGGAGCCCAGACCAACACCGGCGCGACGACAGGCATGGACTCCCACGGACAGGGGTTCCAGGAGCGCTCCCTCCTCCATGCTGACGTGGTCTGGCAGCTTGAAGCAGAAGTCGGCGGCGTGCTTGTAGTACCTCGTCAGGTTGCCATCGTAGGGGGGCGTGGCGCAGAAGACCATTCCCGGGCAAAGGTTGTACTGGCCCAGCTTGCAATGATCGCAGTAGCGGCAGGGAACTCCCGGCTCAATGGCCACCCGGTCGCCAACCTTCAAGGTGGTCACCTTCTTGCCCAGCTTGCCACCACTCCAGCGGCTTCGTGGCCAATGATCATCGGCTTGGTCAGCACAAAGTCGCCGATGCGTCCGTGGGCCAGATAATGAACGTCCGATCCGCAGATACCGACACTATCCATCGCCAGGAGAACCTCTATGGAATTGAATCGGTATTATCATATTGGTATACTATCAGAATTATCTTTACCACGTTATATATGTAGGGTAACAATTTTATAAATTTCTTTTGTATAATATTAAATACGGAAAAAAAATACGAATTACCTATCTATGTTGTAAATCAAAGGATTAATATAATGCTGCATTGCCCAATGGAAATCCCTTACAGTCCAATCTACTCTACTCACCAATATTTATGATGAAACTGCTAATTTTTGTTATCAGTAGGCTTCAGTTACCACAAATTGGATATATTATCTACATATTTATTATGGTTATGTTCTCTGTGTCACCTGATACCCAGCAGCAATCATTCGATATCTCTTTTTGATTGACAATCAAAGTTAATATTTTTCTTAAAATAATGAAACCCTTACCTATCAGTCCGCTTAGTATTACTAAAATATTTTGTAATTTTTTTAACTGATACTATTATCCTTCATCTTCTTTATATCTTTTTAAATTTATTAAATTATCATAACTATTTTTGTAGTGTACAAATCGCTTACCATCGTCGGCGATTTCCGGAATCGGGCGTTGCTCCTGCAGGAAGTGAATTAGTAGATGGCAAACAATCGCCCAGTTTAGATCCGGGTATTACTTACCAATCGCAGGTCCTCGATTCCGTGGAGAACCGCTGTTAAATTATCTGTCGGCCATGATTTCCGCAGTATTTCTTTTTATCAACTTTCCGTACAACGTCCGTTCGCTTCGAAAGCCGATTTAGAACTGAATTCAGTATCCGACATGTTTGATATGCTGCGCTGGCAAGTCAGTTTTTTACACATATATAGAATGTATATATTTAAATTTGCCTATCTATGCGTGTGTTTGTTTGCTCGACCGGAATACAGTTAAAATAGGTTATATAGACTGTGATCTTTAAAAGTTAAGCACGGCTATTATATCACTTTGTTCCGCACCTTAGATATACGCCGAAATATCGCAGTTCGTATCACTTATGGGCAAGTTTATTATAGTAATCATTAGGAAAGTCGAGCCCCTTTTTGTTTCTTTTATTTACTCCCGCCTGTATTTTGTGGCTGTTCTCTCACTTACTTCGAAAGACCCGAGAACAGCTGTTTTGTATTTACCCCTCGATGGTTGATGGTTGTTTACTTATTTGTGGGGGCGTCTCGCCGGCAAAAATAAAAGTACAGAAAAGCTCCCTCTCTCCCCTACACTCTCTCTCTACATACACTCGAAATATTTTTTATAATTTTCAAATCTTACATTTTCGATTATTTTTTAGAAAATATGACAAATAATTCCGTTTATATTCTTGTTCTTGTCTTCAGGTTAGGTAATAATAATAGGTTTTAAATTACAAAATTGCCGTCCTTATCTTAAGAAAGGTTATAAACCTTGAAAACGTATAGAAATTCGGATGGTAAAACTATAGTTTTAACAAAAGGACTAGATATGCTGCTATAAAGTATATTTTTACCATTTTTATAAGATGCCGCGCTGAGAAACATATGAATTTTGAAAATAATAAAATTGTTTTCAATTTTGTTTACTCTTTAACGTAAAAAGAAAGCAAGAATTTTCTATTTCCGGTTCCTTCTCCTTAAAAAGCAAATTTCCTTTTTTAAATCAATCCCAAATATAATTTTTACAAGTGTACACATACATGTGCCCAAAACCGTTACGTTATCACTTGATTTATAAGTTTGCGCTGCTCAAGTTAATTGAAAAAGAAATATTTATGCAAATTAAATAATAGGTAGCAGTTCGCATTTGAGAACGCAATAAGAATATCAGGTTTGTTTTGTTTGCTATATAGTTTTATTGGCTTTATTTCTCTGGCTAATATATTCATTTCAATAAGTGTTTGATATTCGGGTTCTTAACATATAGAATTTCTATTTTTAAAAACGTTTGGCTTATATAGGTATGTGTATATACGTAGGTGTGCTTTGCTGCGGTTTTTATTGACGTAGAAAATAAAAAATGTTTGCTTAAAACTAAGAAAAAAGTTTCCATCACGTCAACTGCCGCATTAAGTTGGCTGCTTTATTTGGTTTTAGTTCACTTTGAAGATAAATGCATAATCTGTAAATGCTATATGTTTCATATACGGTTTCAAAATTTGGCTTTGAGTTAGAAAGGAAAGCAAAGTTTCAAGTTGCAGGCTAGTGCCCAACTACAACAGTTAACTATTTTATATAATAACCCTGCAAAATGTCATCAATTAAATTTGATGAATGGAACTTTATAAGGTGTAAACAATTTGTCAACTCAGAGATAGCAAATAAATTGCTTCTAAAATTGCGAGATTACATAGTTTGGTTCGTAATGGGAATTACCCCAAAGTAGTGTTCAGACAAAAAATTAATTTTCTACAATTATTGAGCAATTTGTTAACTGACATTTGCAAGGTTATATTAGTTTCGGGCCTCCGAACTCCCAAGAAGTTTTCCTTGTGTATTTAGACGCTGTGCGAGTGTTAGATCTTTAGTAACTTAATGCTAGGCTCTCTAGGGTTTGGATTATGTTGTGTCTTCGATATCTATATAGTGTATTTCCGTTCTCTAAAGCTGCAATTGCAGACATACGATTATGTCAATGTAAAAGGAACAAATTTGGCCAAAGGAAACTTAATGTGTCGATCTTACTTCTGCTGCTGCTTCACTGCGAATGTAATTACGTTTTTTTTTATATCACACTTATGGTCGAAACGAAATTGGGCCCTGGACATCCCATCCCCATCCTACATGGAAAGTTCCTGGCGCGGCTTGTTGATGTGCAGCCGCTGGGGGTCCTGCGGCGCCACACAGATATCGGTGAGGATAACCACCTCGTAGGGACTGCAGTCGGGCATCCGCAGGAATCCACAAAGCCAGCCGTAGAATCCCTTCTCGATGTCCGTGATGTCGTTCACCCAGCTGCTGTACTGCAGACTCAGTTGCCGCACTCCCGAGTAGAGGCCCAGTCCAAAGGTGCACAGCAGAATGGCAAGGGGATAGGCCACGAACAGCAGCGGTGTCACCAGGATCTTGTGCAGGTACGTCCTCTCCTCGCAATAATAGTTGAACATGTTGTACCAGGTGAGCGTGCCAATGTAGAAGGAGTACACCGCCGAGATGACGGTGACGAACGGCAGGCAAACAGCGAGATGAGCAGAATGTGGAGGCCGGTGCCACAGCTGCAGGTGCAGCACAGGTTGCCGCCCTTCTGGGAATCGCTGGCCATTGCATGGGCATTCAGCTGCTCCAGCTCCTCGCGGCTGATGTTGATCTGGAGGTCCACGGACTGGCCCTTCTTGCGGCCACGCTTGATGGTGCCCGTCATGGTCAGGTAGTTGCCGCCCTCTTTGCGAGCCTGATATCCCCGCTCCAGACTCTGGTCATAGTTGTTCAGGACACTCGTCTCCCCCGACTCGAGGTCCTCGTAGTTGGTTATCTCCGGCGAGGTGCGCTGATTTGCGACCCTGACCGGGCAGATCGGTCGTCCGGATGTTGACCCGCTTCTTGGAGGACGACCGGTTGCTCAGGCAGTCCTGCGACTTGCTCAACTTGGCGTCTAGACTGCTCTCCGAATAGCAACAGCTGCTGGGCGTCACCGTGCTGCTCTCGTGCCGTTGTGAAGTGGATTTGGTGCCCTGCGATATGGACTCAAAGTTCTGCAACTCGTTGAGATTGCCATTTGATCGGCCCGACTTCTGGCTGTGCTGCGTCGAACTGGCCGAGTGGGTGCTGGCCAGTGTGTCATGGGCACTGGGAACTCCTAGCTCTCCAGGGAGCTGTGGAAGCGGTTGCTTGTTTTTGATAATCAACTTGGACTTGCGGAGCTCCTCCTCGAGACCCGGATTCGAGGCGACAGCTTGGGACGATTTTGCTGTCATAAAAATAAGGAATTATTATATATAATATTACAAATATATCATCCGTGAATCAACAGTAAACGAATCCTTAAGTCCTGAGAGGTTTTATAAGCCTTATTGATTTAAATTTGTATGTTTCACCTTAATGGTTTAGTATATGATATAGTGTATATCCATATTTAGTTGCTGTAATTAAGCTTAGAACGGGGATCTCAAGAATAAGCGTTTTTAAACTTGATAGTTGGAATGAAAAGTCGGACTTAATTAGGTGAACTTGGGCTTGGTCGATTTAAGTATCGAATTGTTCAATGTTGATTCATTCTTAACATCCTTTGGATCCAATATCTCACCTGCACACTGACGATGTGGTCCACATAGTTTTGCTTCTTGGCCTCCGACTTGGTTTGTTGACGTTTCCGGGGCGGAATAAAAACAGGGCGTTCCTTGCTGCCCGTGCTGGTATCGACTACCAAACGCTTGACCCTTTGCCCACCATTTTCCGGGTTTTCTTTAAAAGTCTTGGCACAAACAACTCATCACTTTCCTCTAAAAAACACTCATTTTTCATCCTCTGTGACGTTACTTAACGCCCAGTAATGCAAAAAATGCACTTCCGGCCTTGTCGCTTCGCGGCTGTGTTGTTATTGATTTTCCTGGCTGACTGGCACGTCCTTGTGCCGATTTGCGTTCATTGGCGTTTTTTGGGGTCTGCTGTTGTGCATTTTGGGTTGGGCGGCAATGTTTACAAAACTTGGCGCCTGCGCGAGAGGCAATATTTATTTAAAAATGCAATTGTTAAGTCGTAGCAATAGCTCGATTTAACACACAAGGGTTTACAATTGATAAATGCTTTCTTTGTCAATTTATAAAAGTTTTCAGTGTTTTGTAAGACTTTAATATACTTAGATCTTATAACGGATTTAGGGAATAACAGTCTATTTTCGCTAGAACAGCTGACTTGTGCAAAGTGAAGTTGGCTGCGCTTGTGTGTCAAGTGTGACCAAAATTAAATTAAGATCCTTTGAAATAAGCCAGTTTCTAGCAATGGGATTTGCTTGCAATTTTATTTATCTTATTTTAATTCGTTTCCTTTAAATTATTTTTATCCGTCGTATAAACGCTAAAACATATTCCTGTTCCGGGTGTGCTTTTTGGGGTATTTCATCGATCGATTTTTGGTCACACTGCATCCACCCGGCTTTTCCCGCCTCCTCTTCGTTATCGCCATTCCATTCGCTCTCCATTCGCTTATTGGATCTTGTCGCTAAACTTTCCACTACACTAGAAAAATGTCTGCTACCGAGGGCAAGGTGAGTGCAGCAGCAGTGGGAATATTAATTAGCTGAAACACTCCCCGGATATCAAATCAAACCCCCAGGTTATCAAATGCAAGGCTGCCGTAGCGTGGGAGGCCAAGAAGCCGCTGGTCATTGAGGACATCGAAGTGGCACCACCCAAGGCACATGAGGTACATATATACATTTATAGGTGAAAAAGTCCACTCCAGATAAAGACAGAGATGATAAGGCTCGATTACCCAATTTCCTCAAAAGGTTCGCATTAAGATCACCGCCACTGGAGTCTGCCACACGGATGCCTTCACCCTCAGCGGTGCCGATCCGGAGGGCCTGTTCCCCGTGGTCCTGGGCCACGAAGGCGCCGGCATCGTGGAAAGCGTCGGCGAGGGAGTGACCAACTTCAAGGCCGGCGACCATGTCATTGCCCTCTACATCCCGCAGTGCAACGAGTGCAAATTCTGTCAGAGTGGCAAGACGAATCTCTGCCAGAAGATCCGACTGACCCAGGGCGCTGGCGTCATGCCCGAGGGCACCTCCCGTCTCAGCTGCAAGGGCCAGCAGCTGTTCCACTTCATGGGCACATCCACGTTTGCCGAGTACACCGTGGTGGCCGACATTTCGCTGACCAAGATCAACGAGAAGGCGCCCCTGGAAAAGGTCTGCCTACTTGGCTGCGGCATCTCCACGGGCTATGGAGCCGCACTGAACACAGCCAAGGTGGAACCCGGCAGTAACTGCGCCGTTTGGGGCTTGGGAGCCGTTGGCTTGGCCGTCGGTCTGGGCTGCAAAAAGGCCGGCGCCGGCAAGATCTACGGCATTGACATCAATCCCGACAAGTTCGAGTTGGCCAAGAAGTTTGGCTTCACCGACTTTGTGAATCCCAAGGATGTGGCCGACAAGGGAGCCATCCAGAACTACCTGATCGACCTGACCGATGGTGGATTCGATTACACCTTCGAGTGCATTGGCAATGTAAACACTATGCGCTCGGCCTTGGAGGCCACCCACAAAGGCTGGGGCACCTCGGTGGTGATCGGAGTGGCCGGCGCCGGCCAGGAGATCTCCACCCGACCCTTCCAGCTGGTCGTGGGTCGCGTTTGGAAGGGCTCCGCCTTCGGAGGCTGGCGCTCCGTTTCGGATGTGCCCAAACTGGTGGAGGACTACCTGAATAAGGACCTGCTGGTGGACGAGTTCATCACCCACGAGCTGCCGCTTTCCAAGATCAACGAGGCATTCGATCTGATGCACAAGGGCGAGAGCATTCGCGCTATTATCAAGTACTAAAGATGAGAATGTAATCCGAGATGATTGTTTTATTTGCATTTTTGTACCAGCTGGCAATTGCTTGCGATTGCGTAGAATAATAAACACCCAGTGTATATGTAATACTATCTCTATAGGGGGTCGGATTCCGATTCCTTTCTCTTGTGTGTTTAGCGCGCATAATTGCTTGGCTTTACTTATCTGCCCCAATAAGGCCATCGGGCTCAAAGTTCGACAACTTTGAATTTTTCAAGATTGCGGCTACCTAATACGTAGTATTTCGCAACTATGGTCAATATTGATAAAGCCAACTGATGACCCAAAGCCGGACATCCTCCACTGCACAGTCGTGACATGTTAGAATAGAACAAGTTTTGACTAACTAATTAGAGCGATAAGTTTGGATTTTGCCCCCCGATTTAGGTAGATAATAACCAAATAAAAAGTCATGGTTACACGTATAGAATGTCTGTATTTGAATTCGCACTACAACAAGGTTTGCAGACAAACTCGCGCGCAGATACTTAAAAATGCTAATAAGTCTAGTATGTTGTTGTGGCTAACAAACGTGCATGCAGTTTTGGTTTCGTCGTTAAATATAAATTTCATTTTAAATGCATATTCTTACGGAACTCGCTAGCTTATATACAAGTGTCTTTTAATTAGTACGATATTGCATATATATATACGAGTAAAAGTTTGGATTTGTTCGACTTTACTTTTGACTAAGAATTACGCTGCCGTTAAAAACATTCAGAGCTGCAATTTACGAATACATTCGAGTATAAATATGTTACCTATGTCTATACGAGTATAATACGATTGTAAGACTGTTATTTGGGGACACTAGAAATTGAATCGATCAAAAACACAAGAGATGGTATACAGGGAGCTATGGGTTATTCTAGGAGTGGGGTTCGGTTTCAAACTATTTGAGCACGGACAGGACCAGAAAAGTCCGCCTCACATCCGCGAATTGTAGTACGGGTCGTCCTCGCAGGGCGGATATCCGTAAAGGTACGGATGGTGGCATTGCACTCACGACCAGCGCGACTTCTGCAGGTCGATCTGTCCCTCCAGGGTCTTGGCCAAGTAGATGACGAACAGCTGCAGCAGGGCTATGCCCAGTGCCACGCCGGCAATCACATACAAGTTGCGCTCCACCCAAACGCGCACGATCTCAATGCAGCCGCTGGTCCAGATGCGCTTGCTGGCGGCCGCCACCGAGTGCTCTTGCACGCCGTATCCGCACATGATGTTCACCAGGCCTGAGCTGATGTCGGTGGCATTGATGCAGCAGCTGTAGGGCACTCCGCACTTCTCCACCGACGGCGAGGAGCAGTTGAAGTACTCGTTCTTGCCTGAGAAAGTGAGATTAGAGAGAATATTAGAAGGAAAACGTCTTATTGGTATCTTTTTATATCGAAATTTTATTGGCCAAGTCAATGTTTTGGGAAACGTTTGAATTGGCTACAACTTAATGACTCTGTTTCCATGATTGGAATCTTCTGAAACACTAGGTTCTACTACTCACTCCAATCCTGGTAGCCGGCGTTGCTCAGGCCGCAGCACTTGAACTCCTGCTGGGCAAAGTCGATGAAGTTCTGCAGGTCGGAGTCATCGCGATACGAATGAATGATCTTGTCGGTGAACTGGTACTCGAGGAACGAGTTCATGTACTGCGGGAAGACGAAGCAGATGATGGCCAGCGTCATTTCGAGGATGAAGAAAAGGAGCAGGCACATGGAGTACAGCTTCAGCAGCCAGGTGTTCTCGCGCAGTGCGCCCAAGCAGCCGGCGAAGCTGACCGAGAAGACGATGACTCCGGCGATGATCATGACCAGCGAGATGTTGAAGATCACATCGTAGACGGTGTCCAGTCGCAGCCAGCCATTTCCATCCTTCAGTTTGTCCATGAAGGCGTAGACGCCGATGGCCAGGAGCAGGCCGCCAAAGAGCCAGAAGAGGAAGTTCAGCAGGAAGATCATGTACTTGACGCAGGAAGAAACGTAGCTAAAGTGGTGCGGGTAGGAGGAGATGCGGGGGTGCATGTAGTTGCCCCCCTGGTGGTATCTGTGGTTGCTCATGGCTTTGGCTCTTTGCAAATCGCCGTTTTCAGTGGAGTATTTGGCTGAGTAATACTTTTCCTGGCCTTTTTGTTCTGGTTTACTCCCCCACGAAGACTTTTTGTTGACGCCCTCTTTCCGTGTGGTCTTTTCCGCGGCCTGCCCGGGTGTCTAGCACATTTTACCAAAGGCTGGTCAACTTAGCTCTCCAAATCTGGTGCTTCCCCGCAGGTGCTTTCACTTTTTTCCACCCTTATCTTTATTTTCAATGCTGATAAGTAATTTTATGGAGCCACAAAAAATAACAAAGTGTCCAGCGTTGCCAGACTGACGTTAGAACTTTGCAATAGTTGGCAATGCGAAGAGTCAGCTGGCCCCGAGTGGGACCATACTGTAGAGTCCAGAAAATCCACAGTTTCCATTAGCGACTTAATTGGCAACGCGGGCAGCCAGGTGTTTGATTTTTCGCGTGCAGCTGTTTCTCAAGCAGCTTTTTTGTATTAGTTTTTAATTTTCCACCGCTGCGTAACATTGCGACGCACGCTTTGGCTTGGCGCATTCATAAACAAAAGGCCAAAAATAGAAGCGAAGCAGCACCATTTCAGGCGCTATTCACCAGGTGAGAAGTTTTCCAGGCGGCGGGTTAGCTATGTATAAAAAAAAACCAAGGACGCACCATTTTAGTGTGGGAAAATGATTGTTTTTTCTTTTGCTTTTGACATTGAAGAAGATTTGCGAGCGAATTTTCCCTTAATTCGCAGTGACTTTCTCTCCAAGGCGCTTTCTCCCCGTACTGCAAATCACAAGCACAAAACAAACCGAACGAAAATAGAACGGAAAAATAGAAAAACTGAGAAATAAAAGACGGAAGTGGCAAGCGCGCATTGCATAAATATTAGTTCGCGTGGGCGCAGTAGACAAAACATTGACTTTCCACCGCTTTTCCTCGCATTTTCCTCTTGTTGATTAAATAACCAGCCAGTGCCAAGTGCAGTTGTCAACCGAAATTAGCCAAAAAATGTTTGCACTTTCTCGCCACGCACTGCGGCGCACTCGAATTTTCGCAATTAATCGCTTTTTTGCAGGTAAGAAAATCGCTTTAATAATACCTGTGGGTGTGTCGAACTATTCTAGAAAAATCAACAAACACA